GTCCGCTATGGCGGACTACCACCTTCGGCGGCCACCTCGGCTATGGCGCATCAGGTCCTGCATACGACAGCGCGCATGGAATAGCGGGTACCAGCTCCGATACCAATGCGATCAGACTCGTCTTATTCACACTTTTCATGTATGTAAACAGCAGCACAGCACACTGGCGACATGCGCCCACTCAGAACTCAGAGATATGGCTTCCAGACACGAGTTCTCTTCCAACTGGCYATGGCGACTTAGCGCCCAAACAACTCACTATTCACAYACTGGATCACCCTGGATATCCCACACACGTCACTCTGAACACTCACAYATGCRCCCRCACKCTTCCCACTAACTACAGCTACARCAGCTATGGCTGCCTCTAACCTATCGCTATGCTWACTCCTCCTCTTTCGCCCACTGCGTCCTCCGGGCTCACTGCAGACCTCCTCGCACAAGACGCTGGGACAGCGCTTCCGCATGGCTTCCGCATGAATGAATGAATGGTTGGGCACTGCCTCTTGATTTCATTTCCTTGCCCGAAGTGCGCACAGTCCCGTGCCGTACTTGCTGGACTGACTGGGGACTGGGACTGTTGACTCAGCAGTGTAGACTTCCCCCACTTGCCCACATGCCTCACCACTTGACCACTTGCCTCGGCTTAAACGTGGGCAACTCACGAAAGGCCACTACTGGAACCTTCCGGAAGGTCGTAGACTTGGCCTTTCGTGACTGTAGCAGCTACGACTCTGACCCTTCTGGACTGTAACAGCTACAACCTTGACTTTCGAGAACACTACAGCTACGGTGTCTAGACCTGACTAAGACTCATATCCGACAGGTCTACAGATCGAACCCATGCTACCTATGGACCCTATGACAACCTATCAGCTATTACAAATACACAGGTCGCGGGTTCAATTCTACGGGCGACACAGGTAAGGTTGGGGTCTAGGGATCGAACCCTGGGATCTGCAGCAGCTACTGCTAACTGGTGAATAACGTTTCACACATACCCCTTGGTACTTGCTGAGTTCAGTCTGTCTGTCTATTCTTTCTGCATCGAGTCTCTTCTGTCCTAGGTGATAGCACTCTGTGGATGAAGGATAGGGTCTTGTTGACCAAACCCACACGGGATGAGTAGGGCTAAAGGCCGTGTCTAACGACTCGACAGTCCCGGAGGACACGAACCCTCCCAAGGACCGGTACTGACCGGTGGGCTGCTCGCTGTGGCACGGTAGGCCTCAAAATCCGAGTTGTGGGCTGCACAACAGACCGTCTAAGTCTTGAGAAACCTGCTGATCGCGAGTTTGGGGGATCTCCTTAATTGCCTCGTGATCAGGAACAGGTCTCGTAGTGACAGCCATAGTTAGGTCCAGGCTAGAGACCATAGTTGGCAAGATCCCTGTCCGGATTCTGTGAGTCTTAGATTGAGTCTATAGGTTTGTCAATCAGGGGTCAGAGTCTACGTGGTGAGGGTTAAAACCACTTACCCGGTTGTGCACTTTTCAACATGGTTGAGACCCGCATTGGGAAGGACACTAGCCCCTAAACCAAGGAGCAGCAAGAAAAGACGGCCGCTTTAGTTAAGGAGAATAGGGAGAGAAAAGAGCGAGAGAAGCAAGCGAAGTTCAAAGCGATTGCAGAGGAACAGGTGGCGAAGATGAGGCAATTGGAGGAGGAGATGGAGAAAAAGAAGAAGGCTGCTGAAGAATAAGTGGCAACAAAAGAAGAAAAAGAGAGAATGTGTATTGAGAGTAGAGAGGGGAGTAGTGGCGCGAAGAGGGATACAGACGCAGAGATGGAGAAGAGAATCAGTGAGTGGGTTGCTAATTTATCGTTGGGAGAAGATAAGGAGGCGGAGTCTTATGTGACTAAGGATGAGAGGGCTGCGCTAGCCAGTGAGCTAGCAATGACAGACCCTATGGAACGGCAAGAAAGGGAGGAGGAGCAGAAATTGGCATGGAAGTTGAGGATGAAGAGGGAGAAGAAGAGGAGGAGAGAGGAAGTCAATAAACTGACCGCAGAGGTGGCAAAGGTGCAGGAGTGCAGGGAGGAGGTGTTGGCCCAGCCGGATGACAAGGCCAAACGGGATAAGGTACTGGGGTACCTAGAGGTGTTGAATAAAGCCTGGATGGAGGAGCGCCAGGCTAGTTGGAGCCAAGACGTAGCTTTGAGTGCCATGCGGTCGGGGTTCAGAGACTTTGCGCGCGAGATCGTCACCCACATTGGGGGCGAAGTCGGGCAATTGAGGGACAACGTAAGGAAGTTTTGTGAGGACGCCATTGAGGGCGCCAAAACCATAGCCGCTGTAGAGGGCGAGGCCAGGCCTCGCAAGGACCCAGTCAAGCTCAAATTCCCGGATGCTTATGGAGGGAAGAAGGAAGAGAACTTTGACAACAGGGAAGCCAGTGTCAATAGTTATATATATCTACATCACATCCTGATAGAGGAACAAGTCCTAGTGGCCTTTCAGGCCCTTAAGGATGAGGCGGCTAGTTTTGCCAGGTCCCTTGCGCGCGCAGCCGGTTGTGAAAACAACCTGGTTGCATATTCAAAAGTCCCCCCCCTTTCTCAATTCCTCAAGCTCCTGAAGGAGCGATTCACTGATCCAACGAGAGGCGTTAGAGCCCGTGATAAGTTGCAAACGATCCACTCACGGCAGTGGAGTGCCAAGGCACTCAAGGGCGTTATGGACGACTTAGTAGCCGTCCCAGACCATGGGGTCACTGAGCCCCAACTGGTCCAATTATTTTATCGTGCCATGCCAGAGCCCCTGCGTGGGCACTTTTTTGATAAGTCCCAACAGCCCCCCATGACATACGATGCGCTCAGTAGAGAGGTGGTGCTGTTTGAGGCCAAGTCCATGCCAATTTCCACTTTCTGGCATAAGGACTTAGAGGTCAAAAGGTGCAAGGGTCGTACCATCTCAGGCCAAGTGAGGGCCAAGGATCACATGATCCTTACTTTAGAGGAAGGTGGTACTGACGAGGTCCCATACAGTCAGATTGAGTGGGGCCTAGAGAAGGAGGAGAGTAGTATGGGGCAGGGGAGGTCCTATGCTGTTGTCGCGGCTGGAGGGAGGCCGCAAGGTACAGGAGGAGGACAGGGCCAAAGGGGCCAGGCCATGGGAGGCCGAGGACCGGGTGCACAGGGGGTTGGCGGACAGGGAAACTGCCAAGTGGGAGGCAGGGGTCCAGGTCCCCCGCCAAATCGCCAAGGTTCCAATCGGACCCCACAGCGACGAGGTGGAAGGGCACCTCAAGGGGGATGGCACCCAGGCTTGCCACAAGGCAGGCCCTGGGAAGATTTGGGTTTGGACCAGCGCATATGCAAGGAGCGCGTGACCCGGCCCATGTCATTAAATTTTGTCCCAAGTATACACAGGCCCGTTGGGCTGCCCAGCAGTCAA